TATATATATATATATATAAACCTCTTACTTGTTCTAAGCCAGGTGAATGTCAATGAACATACATCCATCTAACTAAGTATCTCTGAATATCATGAAAAATATGATGAAATAATGATGGATCCATTTGTGAATGCAACGGACTGACCTAAAAAAATAATCATAACATTTAGATAGTCTAATAAGTATAGCCTTAGTATTTTATAGTTATTTCGTGTTTCCTCTTTGGTCAGCCACTGGGCATGTCTTCATTTATATATTTTTTCCGAGAAATGGCCTTTTAATTTATAGAATTGTAAAAAAACTGCAGTGCAATAAAAAATTATCACAACAGCTAGAAGGAAGTCAGAATCAGGACAAAAACTAAAACTGCAGAAATGCAGAAAAATATCCCAATAGAAAAAGGTATAATGACCTGTAAGTAATACCTCTAATAATACAATAGCAGACTAATCGTTAAGATTTCAAGATTACAATCAGGTAGACAGTTTTACCTGCAAACAAGTAAAGAGCAAGGCAAAAAGAATGACTAAGAATCTACGAAGCTAAATGGCTCTAAATACTGTAATTGTATTTTATGTACAAAAATTAGGAGAATTGGAATGTCTTCTTTCCAAAGCAAAAGGAACATGACATCAACTATTGTTTACTATTATACCCTCAAACACAACAATCAACCTAATAAGAAGCCACAATGAAGCCATTATTTACATAAAGTATTAAATAAGGAAACATGAGATCTAGTGAGATCTTTTAGCATTTTCAGAGAGCCATCTGTGATGTCTAAGAAAATTAGGTCACTTAGCAGACCAAGAAATTGCCAAGTACTTGCAATCCTATATGCCTTTCGACCACATTTTTCATCTTATACTTCTTGCTCCAGTAAGAAAACAAACCAGCAATGCGCCCAATTTACTGGAAGAATTCAGCTTTTCATCTACACGTTTTTTGGTGAATATGAAAAAGATTCAAATTTGCGAGATGCTATAAGGAATCCTTTTTACTGGTACAAGCGTGAAGGTCTTCAAATTAACCTATGTACCCGATCTATTTGACGAACTTAACTCTTTAATATAGTAAAAAATGAATATAAGGAGGAGAAAACAAATATATACTCATCAAACTATTTAGTGTGAACCCACTGATATAATAAAGCTTAATTTTTCACAAATGTCAAAAAAAATGAAGATGCAGAAACTTGAAGAAATGTGGGCAAAAATTAAATCAAAAGCAGAGCTAAAATTGTAACACCCAACTGAGAAGACAAAGAGAACCGAAAGAGTAGTCTTTAAAAATCTGAAAAAATAATAACACCCCCATGAATTTTAGCCATGAAATTAGGAAGTCAAAGAATAGAATAAAAAATTTGGGCAAATTTCGAAAAAGAGGTAGACCGAATATACGCAACTGAATATTCTGAAAAGTGATGAAGGAATGGAATGAGAGAGATTAAAAGGAATGATGAAAGGAAGGATGCTTCTAGACTTGTGTTGAATGTGTTGAAATAAAATGCATCTGATATGAGTGAGCATGTGACACTGTCAAAATATTCTTGTGATTCCCAACAGTCAAATTTACCATATCGTCCATGCATGACAGATTAAAATAGCAATTTTGCCCTTGATCGACCATTCTTCTCTTTTCTATATATAATAAAATAATAATAATAAATATATATAGAAAACTTCTCACTTGTATAACTAACTGACAATAAATGAACCAATTTTAGTTTTGGGATATATTGCCCCAAATTAGTAGCAAAATGTCTAAGTGTAATTATCAAAACCACAAGGTGCAAATGAACATTTATTAAAAGTGCAGGTCCTCTACGAGAAAATAAATGTAAAGAATCTCTCACTGGTCTCTCCACTCTCCAGAAAATACGAATTATGCCCGGTTAAATGCAGTGCTCATGAACCGGCGTTTTCAACTGGCACTGTCCCAAAGATAAATGCTGTGATTTGTTTTTTCCTCATTAATTCGTCAATACTCAAAAGGCCAAAAGTT